CTTTCCTGGGGATCCGGGATTACCGAGGGGAACTCGGAGGGGTGTTAAGCCGGCTTTGATTTCATTAGTGCCCCGATCCGGTGGAGGTGGTGGAGGGGGGGGGGCGGTATCGCTGTGTGATAACAGCCCCTCAGGCCGTGTTTTCTACCTGTTCCCCCGACAGAGGGGGAGGGAGCGCGATTGTGGAGGCCGTCGTGTCGGGGTTCGGGGTTGGGTTGTGAGGCGGGCCGGGTGACACGACGAAGGTTTTATTTTTTTCCTGTCAGGCCGGTGAAAACGAATTACCCCTTCCCACCACCACCACCACCACCACCTCCTCCCTCTCCGTAGTGGGGGGGGGAGAGACAAAGGATGGCGGCCAACAGCTTTTGTGAAACGTTGTTTCGTCTCTAGATAAATATTGGTGCGTCGCCTCGGCTTCGGGGACGCCGGCGACGGATTTGGGATTTGGGCCGGCGTGGGCTTGTGCGAACACGGCGCCGGCCAATATTGGGGGGAGGAAATAGGAGGCAGAGAACCGAACCGAGCCCAGCCGAACCCCCTTGGTGTACCGGTCGGTATCCGCTGCCTTTGTTCGGCTCGCCGGCGGCCGACCCCTCACCTCCCCCCTCTCCTCCTCCTCCTCAAACCGAGATGCTGATTGACCCTTTTCTTCTTCATAACGAGACTTGGGGGTCTAATATTAAACAGGAGGACAATATATCCCCCCCCCCACACACACACACACACCCCTACCCTACCACGACAAAGCCTGTCAGGATGCCATTGAACCGTATGTTTTAAAACAAAGCCCCGCTGGGCTCTCGCCTCAATCAGAACTCGTTTGGGATAAATCTGCAGGAGCAGAGTTCCCTTTGTCTCCCTGCTGACTTCTCGGATCGAAACCCGACCCGGTTTCAGGTGCAGCTCCGGTGCGGCAGGAGCCCGTCCATCAGGCCTTGGTATAGAGCGCCGGCAGTTTCTCTCGTGCTTGGACTGGGCCGGAAAAGACGACAGAGGGCTCTGTGGAGCCGGACCGGTCGTGTCCGGCTTCTCAACTGGACCGAGCTCCGGACAGCTGGGTCACGTCCCTGCCCCTGCGTGTCTGGTCTCAGGATTTATACACCTCTCCTTCGTTCTTCCCTTCTTGGAACTCGGTGACAACACTGAGCTCCCAGCGGACGTGTTTATGGGGGTGTGTTCATGTTGTCTTTGCTGCTCCTGCCTTGTTATGAAGATGACTCGTGGAGCTCCAGGTGTGTCTGTACTGTAGCAGCTCCTGACACTGATGTCACAGGTAGAAGGACAGATACAGTGGACACATAGGAAGACCCCATGTGTTCTTAGCTGAAGCAGCTCTTGACACTGATATCACAGGTAGAGGGATGGACACAGTGGACACACAGGTGGACTCCAGGTGTGTCTGTGCTGTAGCAGCTCCTGACACAGATATCACAGGTAGAGGGACAGACACAGTGGACACACAGGTGGACTCCAGGTGTGTCTGTGCTGCAGCAGCTCCTGACACAGATATCACAGGTAGAGGGCTGGACACAGTGGACACACAGGTGGACTCCAGGTGTGTCTGTATTTGAAGAGATGTGAAGGGCAGAGCAGCTGGCCTGCCCAGGGGAGCTGGAGAGAGGGACGATGGACGATGGGGGATGGAGATGAAATGGACACCAGTTCAATCGCAGACATGTTGGAGGCTGGAGTGTTTTAGCAGAGTGCACCGGGAGCTCAGGTCCCAGCCGGGGGAGGGGGGAGTCTTTCACAGTGCTCGGTGGTCTCTTCCCGGCAAGAGCTCTGTCCGCCTCGCTCGAGGGGAAGGGGGGGGTGGGCAGTTTTCCATCCTGCGCGCAGATGTGCGCTTGCGTTGCAGCTCCTCGTGCCCGGGTTCGATTCCCGGCTGCGTGCGGTCGTTCCCGGTCTCCGTCTCCAGGAGGGGGTGGAGGGCAGAAACCGCTCTGCTGCGGCGCATTGTGGTATTCCCGTATCCGGGAGGAAGATCCCGGCGGGATTTGACTGCAGTCCTGCTCTGGGGGTGATTCGTTTTTTTCCTCTTGAGCTGCCGCGGGAAACGGGAGCTGGCGGCGTTCGGAGAGCAGGGCTGATCCCCGAGGTCAGGGCGGCGGGCCAGGAGCGCGGATCGGATCAACGCTCTCCTTCCTCCGGGGCGAGGAAGTCATCGGAGCCCGATCTCCGAGCGCCGGGGTGCAAGCCCGGCCCGGCCTGGCCCAGCCCAACAGTTTCTGGTCGCGGGTGCTGGTTTGGCCCCTGGGGCCAGGGCCACATCCTGATGGGAATCGGTTTGGGGAAATATGGGACCGGACGGTGTTGACGCGGGAAATTTAGGTGCTTATCCCGCACTGGACCGGGCCGGGCTGCAG